TTGGGCCGCTAGTGCTAGGCTGCTCAATCTTCCACATCTGCTTGGGCTTGGACGGCTTGGGCTGTGCTCTGAGTTGAGGCATGCAAGGCTTGGGCCTGCGCTGTTAAGGTAGCAGCTTGGGCCGACTCATAATGGGCCTGGCTAGGTTAGGTTGCCTTGCGGCATGGGCTGCTTGGGCCACCTCCTAGGCTGCTAGCACAGTTGCTATCTACTCTTCGTGGTCTTGCTGCCATCGAGTTGGCCAACTCCCCACTACCACGGTGGTCCCCATGGCTGCCATGGTGGTGGTGCTCCGTGGTGGCAAAATTGCTCTTATTGCCATTGTGTTGAGTCTTGTGGATAGTCGTGGTGGGGCTATGCCTCGATCTTCATCACTTGGTTCAAATCCTTGAACGTAGGGAGTTTCGTTCATTATGGTTTCCGAATTTCCTGTCATTATATTTTTCCCTTACCTCTATTCAAAGAATTAAAAAAAAATTAGGAATAAGAAAGTATGAAAAATTTACGAACGAACAAAAAATGAAAAACTTTGAATGCGAGAGTCTTCTTCAAGCATTTGAATCAAGCTCTCAATGAAAGCACCAATTTGTGGATGCAAATTTTCGCCGTCTTCTCCTTTGACGAAAATGTACCTGCAAAATAATAACACCTAAGATTAAGGCCAAAAGCCTCATGCGCCCATGATGAATTGGGAGGCTTTGGTCGAAGATTCTCTGATACCAAAGTTAGAATTCTGAAAAGAATGTGTTTAGGAGTTTATGGGTAACATATGGCTTGACTTTTTAGTGGGATAATATGACTATTTATAGGGGAGTGGCCGGCCCTATTTGGAGAATAGTGGCCAACCATATATGGTGTAATTGGGTGAATAATTGCAAGATATTATGTGAAATAATATCTTGCAATTAACATGGCTATTAATCTTAAATTAAATAGGAAATTTGAGAGTTACCTTTTGAATAAGGCTTTGATGAGGAGTGATGAGAGGAATTTGAATAAATACAATTTTAATCACCTTTGACTCTTCCTTGATTGAGCCGTTATTGTCTGTTGCATGCGCGTGGGAATCCGGTTGTGCCTCGAGGGTAATTTTATCATTTAACCCAAAAATTCATGTTGTTGGAAGTATGCCCACAAAGCCACTCATTTGATGTAATAGCTTTTGGAATACTTAATGTATTAAACTTTTATATGTTTAATGAAGGGCAAAGTTTATTGTTAATCACTATTTATTGTATCTTGTGTTTAAGCAATAAGGGAATCCAAGGAATGTATTTGATCTAAGAGATAAGTGATTTAAGTAAGTTAGATTAACGAGACCTTTCTCTTATGTTCATTCCTAAAACGTTCCTAGCCATAGGATTGCCAATTGGGCATTGACAATCCGCTAAGGTTAGTATGTGTTATGTCGACTCAAGCACGAGTATGACAAGTCTCAAGTCATTTAATGTTGGACACTAAGACAAACACATAGGTGCTCGAAAGAGTAATCGAGTACACTGAACAACGATCAAAAGAGAGTTCAAACATACATGTCATGTAAGAATTCGATAGTTGCAATATGCAAAGTAGTCCTTTGACCTGAGGCATCATAGATGTCTAATGGTTAGGTCCTTGATCTTTGATCATGTTAAATGGCATTCCATTGGAGTGTCCACGGCATTGTTGGGATCAAGCTATCTAGTCATGTAGGCATATGAATGTACAACAAGGGATCTCTAACCTTCCATGGTGGAAGGAGAATACTCTAAGATATGATTCGGGAGTCTTTGGCCAAAGCGTATGAATATGACTTAGGAAGTTTGTTCCAAATCATGTTCAATTGAATCATATAGAGAAGTATCACATTGGATAGTAGACATGAAACAAACTATCACTTAAACAATGTGATTAAGAGTATTGTATTAGAGAAGGACCGTATTGCATTGTAGTTGTAACTGGATAGGTTCTCCAACCAATTCTACTTAGCTTGGGTAACCATGACATACTGCTAGGTGTCACTCATGGTTTGTGGAAGCCCTAATGATTAGCAAACACTAATTTTAAGGGAGAATTGAAATGTGGTTTCAATTCACAATCGATCGTTAAGAGTAACAATCGCTCATTACCTCGCTGAATGGAACCTAATGGATCGTACACCGGGTAAGGATGATAGTGAAGAAATAAATAAGATGGATATGCAATTAAATTGTTTAATTGAAAAATGGTCAAGATTAATTAATTAGTTAATTAATTTTACGAAATGTTCGTATTAGGCTTTTAAGTTGGTTTTGGGCTTCGGGGCCCAAAAGCGTTTTGGTCCACAAGGCCCATTATGTTTAAGTTGTATGACAACTAAAACAAAATGGGCAAATTAGCCCAATAACAAGGTAAGGCCGGCCATAGGGTGAGGGGTTGCAAATTTGGATTAATTACAAGTTTGCCACTCACTTGAAATGAAGTATAAAATCAACTTTATAGCTTTATTTCTCATTTAGGGTTTTTCTTGGTGAAATGAGGTGAAACACTTTCTCTCATTTTCTCTAAAGAGACCGGCCACTTAGAGGGGATTTAGCTAGCAATCTTTTCTTCTCTAAGTCATCCATTTTCATCTTCACACTTCATCCTTGGTGTGGAGACTTAGAGACATCAAGCTTTTGATGTTTTGGAGAACTAATCCTCAAATCCTCAAAGAAGAAAAGGAGCACTAAAAGGAGGAAAATCACAAGGAAGATCCAAGGAGCATGGAGGTGACTTGAAGGCCCTCCACTTGGGTGAATCCCTTGTTTAAACAAGGATGAGCTTCAAGGGTAAAGAATCTCTAAATTCTTAATTCTCCTTAATGTTGTTAAAGAGTCTTTTGGTTCACCATATACTAGGCTTTGAAAGTCATGGGTTTTATGAATTGTTTTTTAATGCATGTCTACTTTAATGTGTTAATAGTTTGCATATGTATTCAAATGTTCTTACTTGTTCTTAGCTAGGACAAAATTTTTCTTTCACATGTGTCACCTTTATAATTTTCTTGATTATTTTTTGCTCCACAAAAGAGGCACTCATCCTAGGTTAGTCATACCTTGGTGTGCGTTCTACTTGCGTCCTGAAGGAATTTAGTATTGACTTAATGCAAGTTCTCATTTTTCTCTTTAGGCTATGGGTTTTTATCCTATCCTGGATTTTACCGTTGTGAGGTTTTATGAGTTCTACTACTTATGCATTCTTCCATTTGTTTTGAAACTCACGTTCGCTCATTGTACCGACGACTTCATCAACTGTTCTTACTTCATCGCTAAAGACCTAATGTGACATTTTGTTTGAGTATTTACATACTCAAGAATGAGTGTTGTAGTCCTAATTTAGTTAGTAATGTGATTGTGTAAATCTTGATGGGATTTTATAATATATTTTTTTTTTCTAATGTCTTAATTAAGATGTATTACTTGAAAGACAAGTATTCTCTCTTCCTTGTTACTATAAATAAAGGCACAATAGGGTGAAATAATACACACCTCAGAATTCACCAACTTTCTCTCTCCTCTCCCTTCATAATTCTTCAGTTAAATAGGCCTACAATACAAATTAGATTATCCAATAAACGATTATGTAAACCCTTCAATAATGTATGACCCCAAATCAGTCGTTGATTAGGTTAGGTTACTGAGCCTGAGTAATGTCAAACGCTTTGGATGATTCTCCAGATTCAAAGGACATTGAAGTAAGAAATAAAGGCAACTTCCAAATATTATCTAAGTTGAAGCAATTAGATATGGATTTATCTATACTTATATACTATATTCAAGAGAACTCTCGTTGTCAACTAAAAATCGAGAAATAACATAATTTTGCATTCTTTGATACGGGGAAAAAGTATTAAAAAGAGAATAGAAACATAAAGAGAAGTGTTTATATGAAAATAGGAGTGCTAAAATCAATTCTTTTTTAAATTTAATAAATTGAATAATAGCTTAAACAACAAAGAATGATACATGTAATTTTTACCATCTCTTTCCCACCTCCTATTTTATTTCTATTATAAATACTCTTGCATGACTTCCACCATCACATGCATAACGAGTGTAGAAAGCTAGTGGTCATGAAGAAAACTTACCCCTTCCAATACTATCATTTTATGAGAACATAAAACAATAAGTTTCCTTCATGACAAAATCTTTTACCTTCAACTTTTTACAAAATTTAGACATATTACCTTCATTTCTTCATTTAGCATATCTTAAATTTTTTAAAATATAATACTAGGCACCAAATCAGGCCTCATCTTTGTTTCAAATTGGCTAGAGTTTTCTTCCCCTGCTCAAAATTAAGGGATTTGGATCACATCCGAATCCAAATTTGTGAAAATCCTATGAATCCTCACATTCTAACCGTTTTTCGTACATCGTGTATTATTATCAATGTCATGTGTTATTATCAACATCATTATCATTATTACCATTTTTTGTCATATTCCGGTTAAAAATGTGGTCCAACAAACAGCTTAGTCCTTCGGTGTCTCATTCATGAAAAGACATTCCACATACACTGTCTCCTAATAACATGATCTGTAACATTACTATGATCAAGAGACAGGTCAAATCAATTAAAAAGTACCAAGAAAAATTGAACGTGTTCATATTTGCTTTATGTGATGGAGAAAAAGAAAGCAAATAATGAAGGGAAGCTGTTTTGTCCATGTGTGGATGTAACAAACTTGATACAAGGAAAACTTGTTGTCCATAGGAACGGCTTTTACCACAGGAAGCTAACTTCGGGCCGATATTTGTATAGAATTGGGTCTACTTTACCAATATGGTGGGAAACATCCACGTAACCGGTTATTTTTCATAGGAACCTAACATCTTGCCGTGGTGGTTCAGATTCTATCCTCTCCAGTTTTTTGTCCACATTCTTCATAAATATAAAAGGATACAAGATACTTTCTCTAGTTTCAGGAAACCGCATCCATCAAGAAAATTGCAAGAGATCATTTAGGAAATTCAGCACTTCTATTTCTACATAACAAATGAATTATTTAAAACAAATGCCATACATCATTTGGAAGAAATTGATCATAAAAACCAAATTAAAAAATTTGCCTTCTAAATGAGCAAATTGCTGCTGAACGGGAAATTCACTAACTTATCATGGCAGGGAAGAGGATGCACTTGAAACTTGAAGGAGTAGCCGGACAGTTCATTTCTCCTCCCTCTCATGCTACCTACGTACCACACAAGTTCATTAGTCCGGAAAATAAAATATCAACATTTGAGGGAGGCATATGTGAGAATGTGAGGACAAAGTTCCATATCGGTGAGGAACCAAACCATGTAAAGGCTTATAAGAGGTTGGGATACTTCTTATATTTTCAATTGGTTTTTTGGTGGAACGTCAACTTTATTCATGGTATCAGAGCAAGTTGGCTCACGTGTGAAGCCCAACGGCTACACGACCATGTTTGTGTTGTCCATGTATAAGGCTTGAAAATCCCTCACACGTGAGGCGGCGTGTGAGAATGTGAGGACAAAATTCCACATTGGCGAGGGACCAAACCATGCAAAGACTTATTTGCCACACGTGAGAGAGCGTGTGAAAATGTGAGGACAAAGTCTCACATCGGTGACGACCAAACCATGCAAGAGCTTATAAGAGAGGTTGGGCTACTCCTCATATTGCCAATTAGTTTTATGATGGAACCTCAACTTTCTTGAGCAAAACCCTAATTAGGGTATGGCAAAGGAAGCTTGAAATGGGGGGAAGTGAAAGCAGAACAAGTTACTAACACTAGGCATCATAAGTGCAGATGTTTTCAAATTCCATGCACTCTTTGTTCTCAATCTTTTCGATCATATCTGCTATTCCAACCCCACCTGTTTAAAAGCAAATTAAGCATTAATTACTAGAGAAAATGAATAAAAATGACACCGGAATCGATTTCACGGGCGGTACATACATACCTATAGTGATATTGCACTCACAAAGTGTTGAATCCCACATCGGCCAGAGGGTCAAAAGAAGAAGAGTTTAAATAGAATTACCTCGTTCTAACTCATACCAAGGTATTTTGTGATAAAACCTCATACCTGATTGATGGAGCAGATGGTAATTACCAAATTGAAGACAATATCGGTGTTGTTGGACTGAATTCCTTGGCCCGTCGACCTGAAAAATTCAACATGGTATTAGAGCCCCATATCGGACAGATTGGGCATGTGTATCAAGTTAAAGACAGTTTGTTGGACTGGAACCCTTGATGTGTGGACCTGAAAAATTCAACACAGAGATTGTGAAGGCAAGAATGAAGATAATTATAGATGCTCTCCCTAAAATACCGACTACCTTTCTCACCACATATTGCCCTGCTACGGCTGAAAATGTGGCCACAGCAGTAAAGTGGAGAGCTGCAAGAGAAATTTTTGAGCAAACATCAAATTATTGAAAAATAAATTTCCTCTCCCTGCCATTTCATTTTTTTTTAACTGGCAGCAACTTGGATGGCTAAGACGATTTCCGTAAGGAATTGAGAAGGTAGTACTTTACAACAGACATGGAGGCAGAAAATGTCATGGCAAATGTGGCTGTGGCACTTGAGACCTGCATCAAAGTTCTCAAATAGTGTGTCGGTTTTGAGTGAAAAATGTGTTTCTGTGTATAAAATATTTTGAGCTGTTTTAAGTGAAAGTTTTCGCACTTCCTGTTGTGTTTTACCGTAAAAACTGACTCCACCCTCTATAATAATTTCAAGTTTTTGGATTGAACCATAATCAGTAAATTCAGTAAATACGAAATCAACTACTTCACAAATATAAAACTCACCTGAGGTGGGATTCCTAGCTCCAGAATAACTGGACCTAAAATGAAGCCTCCACCAAGACCAAGCAATCCACCAAATATACCAGCTATAATCAGTATGATGCCACAAGCACTACAAAAAACAAGCTGGTGCACTTTCCAATTTGTGTTTGATTCTGCCCGAGACGCAATCACACTGTGTCCTTTGTATAGTTTAACTGCCTCTAATATAGTTACTCCGAAAGCCATGGGGATCTAAGAATTCATTTGAGGAGATTGAAGGCCAAACATATATGGTGCCATGATGGTTTCAAACAAAAAATAAAGCTCAAATGAGGGTTGTATTTGAAGCGCGAAAAATACAAGATGAAGGCTTATGTTTTCTTCCAATTCTAAGGGACATGAAAGGCAGATAGCTGCAAGAGATTACATGCCCAATATGCAGCTGAACAAGTTGTGGTATAATCCTGTGCCAACAGAAAAGTTTCTTAAAAATTGAATCAACGAATAAATAAAAGCAAAGGAAAGTATTAATAATAACAAAAATCATCCACATTGTAGGTATTACCTTAGCGGTCTGCAATGCAAGTATTATAATCCAGACAGCAAAAAGAATCAGTAGTTCCTTCTAGCAAAGATTCTCAAAGATAGAAACCCGAGAAGGTTAAAGAATGTCAGTCTCTAAAACCATGCATCAAGGAAAGCTCAGGCTCCAAAGAACCCTACGTCTGTTCTTTTGGATTCCCTGGTTTCTGTTGGAGTACCGTTGTTTGGGCCACCAGGTTGAGGCTTGTATTCAGCTTCTGCACTAGAATCATCACCTGCATAAAAAAAAATTAGGCATCTAAATTTGAGTAGGTAAAAGGTCATTGCTACCAAAGAATTAATAATGATAGATCAACTCACCATTTGACTGCATTCGTCTAGCAGCCTCCTGAAAATGGAAAACTAGTTGAGCCAATATGGATTAAGGGGTGGTTTGGGAGTGAGGTGCTTAAAAAAAAAGCACCCATGAAAAAAAGCTGTGAGGGTTTTAGGTGTTTGGTAAACTGAAAAAAAAAAGGGCTTATTTTGGAAGCTGCTGTGAGAATAAGCTGAAATCAAAGGAAAAAGTTGAAGCTGCTATTTGCAGCTTTGGAAAACTAGCTTTTTTTTTCAAAGCACACGGAGCTACAGTGCTCCTTTAATGAAAAGACCCATTATCAGACTGCTTTTTTTTCCTAAAACACTTTTACAAAAAAGTTTACCAAACACTGCTGATTTATTTCACAGCCGCTTATTCTCACAGCAGCTTTTTTTTCAAACACAGCAATACCAAACCAGAGTTATGCCATATGTACAAATTAAACTAACAAAATTTAAGATGACCCTTTTTATTGTAGTTTCTTCTTTCCATGTCTCAGTGCCCTTGAAGAATGCCCTACTCGATGTACTTGCATGTCATCAAAATGGGATCACTATACTTGCATGTCATCCATCCAGCTTGTTTTCTATGGTTGAGATCTCCATCTAATTCTCCGTTCTTTTACAAGATAGATCCTAGGTAGCAAAAACGGTCGCTCTTTGGTATTTCCTGATCTCCGATCCTCACCCCAAACTCATTTTGGCCTCCATTTGCACTGAACTTGCACTCCATATATTCTGTCTTTGATCGGCTTAGGCGAAGACCTTTAGATTCCAACACTTCTCTCCAAAGGTTAAGCTTCGCATTTACCCCTCTTGAGTTTCATCTATCAACACTATATCGTTTGCGAAAAGCATACACCAAGGAATATCATTTTGAATATGTCCTGTTAACTCATCCATTACCAACGCAAAAAGGTAAGGACTTAAGGATTGTTGATGCACAAAATCAGTGAGGACTTTGGTACAACAGAAAGTAATAAGTTTGTGATCTTTGCTAGATTGCTCTGGTCATTAGTGTGGTTAAGTATGTAAACGGATAGAGACAGGAAAGCAAAACACAATATGTACGTGGTTCACCCAGATTGGCTACGTCCACGGAGTAGAGGAGTTCTCATTAATTGTGAAGGGTTTTCACAATACATAGGTTCAAGCTCTCCTTTAGTGAGTACAAGTGAATGATTTAGTACAAATGACATTAGGAAATAATGTGGGAGAATGATCTCGTAATCACGAAACTTCTAAGTACCGAAGTGTGGTATCGTCTTCACTTGCCTTATCTATCTCATAGGTAGATGTGGCATCTTCTCTGGAAGTACTCTTCCTTCATCCAGGGGTGGTATTGTTAACTGGTGGAGATGCACAAGGTAATGTATCAATTACACTTGAAGCTTACTTGTAGTTTCAGGCTTGGTCAAGCGCGATACAAACCATGTAGTAGGAGTCCCCCAAGTCGCCGAGCTAGGGGATCTACTGAAAGAGGTGACAGACAAGGTAAGCAATCAGAGCTCCAAGCAATCAGTCCCAGATCAGAAGTTTGATTTCGAGTTTCAGCTGATTGTTCTCATTCTCCCTATCTTGAAGGCAGCATGAAGGATAAAGAGAAGAAAAAGGAGAATAGATGATATGAGATTCTTTTGCTTTTGAAGAAGTAACTTTCCACAAGCTTATTCTTGAACTGGGCTGGAGGGTTTTCTGGTTTCCTCCAGAGTATAAGGTCGACTGAAGAATTTGAGGGTCAAAACAAGTCCATCAAATCTAGAGTACGTTCGACCCTGCTGATATGGGATACTTTTGCTGTTGATAAAATTGGATGTATCGGTACGTGTTCTGTTACGCTTGCCTCCACATGCTTCCTTGTATCCTTCTCACTTTACCTATCTGTTCCTCAGCCAGATGTGGTATCTTCTCTGGAAGCATAAGATGTTGAAGATGAGTACTCGAGAGCAATGCCAGGTAAGTAATCAGGTAAGGGGTTCCAGGCAGTTAGTTCCTGACTGGAAGCTTGATTCCAAGTGCTGACTGATTGCTCTCTTTCTCCTTGTCTTGCAGGTAAGAACAAGGCCAAAGGAAAAGACAGGGAAAAAACATGATATGGGATACTCTTGCTTTTAACCCTGATGATATGAGATATTCTTGCTCTGGTGTAGCTTGTTTGCAGAGGTATTATCGGGGGGAAAGAAAGCTGAGTATTTCGAGAGGCTTCGTTGGGAGTGCCCTCTCAGATATGAGGAAGGGTTAAGCATTTTTGCAGGTCTGCCTATCCGTTGAGGATGGAGGTCGACATATATAGGAGTCTCCCTAACAACAAGTAGTAATGATATTCCTTTACCCTGCTTGGTCATAGCACGGTAGTAGGAGCTGCCAGCTTCACGTGTGTCAGAGCACTTTGAAAAAGTGGTCTGTGGTATCTGGAAAGCTGATGCTGCGTGTGAAGATTACAGACAAGCTTTATCCAAGGAGATCTGGCTCTCGAAGTTGAGAAAGCGGTGCCTCTTCGGTTTTCGAACAAGCAATCCTGTCGAGGATCTGGCTCTCGAGATTCGGAGAACGCTGCCTCTTCGATTTTTGAGAAAGTAATCCTGCTGGGAGTCTGGCTCTCGAGATTCAGAGAGCGGTGTCTCTTCGATTTTTGAGAAGGTAATCATGTTGGGAGTCTGGCTCTCGAGATTTGGAAGGCGGTGCCTCTTCGATTTTGGAGCAAGCAATCTTGTTGGGAATGTTTTCTCGAATGTGAGTAAAGGTTGGGCATGTTTGCTAGTCTACCTTGCCACAGAGCACAGAGGTTGACTCACAGGGACTTTCGAATTATCCAGCAGTGGTGCTGTTCCTTTACCCTTATGGGTAATAATATGGTAGCTAGACCTTCAAAATTTATGTGTCTAAACTTTGTTAGTGCTGTTTCTTTGCTATTCTTTTACCCTTCTTGGTCATAGTGATGTAGTGGGAGCTGCAAGCTTCACGTGTCTAAACTTTGTTAGAGATCTTTGGCAAAGTTATCTGTGGTACCCATGAGCTGATGGTGCGTGTGGAAAGTGGATGATTGAACAGTAAGATTCACGTGCTTTCTACTTCACCAGAAATCTTCAACATAATGCCCATAATTTCAGCAAAGCTGAGTGTGCATGTGACAGGTGCTGACAAGGCTAAAAAAAGCAGGTGCCTCTTTGATTTCTAAGATTGGCCCTCGTGGTCTCTGAGCAGCCCAGCTTTTGAGAAAGCAAGCGCCTCTTCGATTTCTGAGATCGGCCTTCGTGGTTTTGCAGCCCAACTTTTAAGAAAGCAAACGCCTCTTCGATTTCTGAGATCAGCCCTCGTGGTCTCTGAGCAGCCCAGCTTTTGAGAAAGCAAACGCCTCTTCGATTTCTGAAGCTCCGTCAAGTGCAGATTTTTATAGAGGTTGGCATTAAGTTCCAAAGCACACTTGAATCTTCACCAGTAGAAGCTCCCTTCTTGCACTTCTAAGATCTTGATTTGTCTGACCTCTTCTCTCTTCAACACCTTTGAAAATGTCTGGCTCCTCCGACCGTCGTTTTGACTTGAACCTTGTTGAAGAGGCAGACACGCCTTCTCCAGACAACATATGGCGCCCATCCTTCGTTATCCCCTACTGGTCCTCTTACCGTTGGGGATTCCGTGATGAAGAATGATATGACCGCTGCGGTGGTGGCCAGGAACCTTCTCACTCTCCCAAAGATAACAGACTACTTTCCAAACGGTCTGATGAGTTGGCTGTTAAGGATTCTCTGGCTCTCAGTGTTCAGTGTGCAGGTTCTGTGTCTAATATGGCCCAACGCCTATTTGCTCGAACCCGCCAAGTTGAATCATTGGCGGCTGAAGTGATGAGTCTCAAACAGGAGATTAGAGGGCTCAAGCATGAGAATAAACAGTTGCACCGGCTCGCACATGACTATGCTACAAACATGAAGAGGAAGCTTGACCAGATGAAGGAATCTGATGGTCAGGTTTTACTTGATCATCAGAGATTTTGTGGTTTGTTCCAAAGGCATTTATTGCCTTCGTCTTCTGGGGCTGTACCGCGTAATGAAGCTCCAAATGATCAACCTCTGATGCCTCCTCCTTCTAGGGTTTTGTCCAGTACTGAGGCTCCGAATGATCCCCCTCCGGTGCCTTCTCTTTCTGGGGCTCTACCGACTGCTGAGACTTCTCCTAAGCAACCTTTGTGAAGGCTCCCTCTTGTTTGTTTATTTTGACTCATGTATATGTACATATTTGTAACTTATCGGAGGATATCAATAAATAAGCTTTGCCTTCATTTCAACGTATTGTGTTAAATACACCAAAAGCCTTCTTCACTGAGTTGAGGGTCGGCTATATGAATCTTAGAACGCCATTGTGCTCGGTCCTGTGTCATGTCCTCCGTTAGATCCAAGTACTCTAAGTCTTTTCTTAGAGTCTCTTCCAAAGTTTTCCTAGGTCTTCCTCTACCCCTTCGGCCCTGAACCTCTGTCCATAGTCGCATCTTCTAATCGGAGCGTCAGTAGGCCTTCTTTGCACATGTCCAAACCACCGTAACCGATTTTCTCTCATCTTTCCTTCAATTTCGGCTACTCCTACTTTACCCCGGATATCCTCATTCCTAATCTTATCCTTTCTCGTGTGCCCACACATCCAACGAAGCATCCTCATCTCCGCTACACCCATTTTGTGTACGTGTTGATGCTTCACCGCCCAACATTCTGTGCCATACAGCATCGCCGGCCTTATTGCCGTCCTATAAAATTTTCCCTTGAGCTTCAGTGGCATACGGCGGTCACACAACACGCCGGATGCACTCTTCCACTTCATCCATCCAGCTTGTATTCTATGGTTGAGATCTCCATCTAATTCTCCGTTCTTTTGCAAGATAGATCCTAGGTAACGAAAACGGTCGCTCTTTGGTATTTCTTGATCTCCGATCCTCACCCCTAACTCGTTTTGGCCTCCATTTGCACTGAACTTGCACTCCATATATTCTGTCTTTGATCGGCTTAGGCGAAGACCTTTAGATTCCAACACTTCTCTCCAAAGGTTAAGCTTTGCATTTACCCCTTCCTGAGTTTCATCTATCAACACTATATCGTCTGCGAAAAGCATACACCAAGGAATATCATCTTGAATATGTCCTGTTAACTCATCCATTACCAACGCAAAAAGGTAAGGACTTAAGGATGAGCCTTGATGTAATCCTACAGTTATGGGAAAGCTTTCGGTTTGTCCTTCATGAGTTCTTACGGCAGTCTTTGCTCCTTCATACATATCCTTTATAGCTTGGATATATGCTACTCGTACTCCTTTCTTCTCTAAAATCCTCCAAAGAATGTCTCTTGGGACCCTATCATACGCTTTTTCCAAATCTATAAAGACCATGTGTAAATCCTTTTTCCCATCTCTATATCTTTCCATCAATCTTCGTAAGAGATAGATTGCCTCCATGGTTGAGCGCCCTGGCATGAACCCGAATTGGTTGTCCGAAACCCGTGTCTCTTGCCTCAATCTATGCTCAATGACTCTCTCCCAGAGCTTCATTGTATGACTCATTAGCTTAATACCCCTATAGTTCATGCAATTTTGTACGTCGCCCTTATTCTTGTAGATAGGCACCAAAGTGCTCTTTCGCCACTCATTTGGCATCTTCTTCGTTTTCAAAATCCTATTGAAAAGGTCAGTGAGCCATGTTATACCTGTCTCTCCCAAAACTTTCCACACTTCGATTGGTATATCGTCTGGGCCTACTGCTTTTCTATGCTTCATCTTCTTCAAAGCTACAACCACTTCTTCCTTCCGGATTCGACGATAAAAAGAGTAGTTTCTACACTCTTCTGAGTTACTCAACTCCCCTAAAGAAGCACTCCTTTCATGTCCTTCATTGAAAAGATTATGAAAATAACCTCTCTCCATCTGTCTTTGAACCGCGTTCTCTGTAGCAAGAACCTTTCCATCCTCATCCTTGATGCACCTCACTTGGTTTAGGTCCCTTGTCTTCTTTTCCCTTGCTCTAGCTAGTTTATAGATATCCAACTCTCCTTCTTTGGTATCTAGTCGCTTATACATATCGTCATAAGCCGCTAACTTAGCTTCTCTCACAGCTTTCTTCGCCTCTTGCTTCGCTTTTCTATACCTTTCACCATTTTCATCGGTCCTGTCCTTGTATAAGGCTTTACAACATTCCTTCTTAGCCTTCACCTTTGTTTGTACCTCCTCATTCCATCACCAAGATTCCTTTTGGTGTGGAGCAAAGCCCTTGGACTCTCCTAATACCTCTTTTGCTACTTTTCGGATACAACTAGCCATGGAATCCCACCTTTGGCTAGCTTCCCCCTCTCTATCCCACACACACTGGGTGATTACTTTCTCTTTGAAAATGGCTTGTTTTTCTCCTTTTAGATTCCACCATCTAGTCTTTGGGCACTTCCAAGTCTTGTTCTTTTTTCTCACTCTTTTGATATGTACATCCATCACCAACAAGCGATGTTGATTAGCCATGTTCTCTCCCGGTATAACTTTGCAATCCTTACAAGTTATACGATCCCCTTTCCTCATTAGAAGAAAATCTATTTGTGTTTTTGACGACCCACTCTTGTAGGTGATCACATGTTCTACTCTTTTCTTAAAGAAGGTGTTGGCTAAGAAGAGATCATATGCCATTGCAAAATCTAAGATAGCTTCCCCATCCTCGTTTCTCTCCCCAAAACCATGGCCACCATGAAAACCTCCATAGTTGCCTGTCTCCCTGCCCACGTGTCCATTTAAATCTCCTCCTATAAATAACTTATCCGTCTGGGCAATTCCTTGCACCAAGTCTCCAAGGTCTTCCCAAAATTTCTCCTTTGAACTCGTATCCAACCCTACTTGAGGTGCATACGCACTAATCACATTGATGAGTTCTTGTCCTATTACAATCTTGATTGCCATGATTATATCTCCTACCCTCTTGACATCTACAACATCTTGTGTCAAGGTCTTGTCCACGATGATGCCAACACCGTTTCTCGTTCTATTTGTGCCCGAATACCAAAGTTTAAACCCTGAGTTTTCTAGATCCTTTGCCTTAAGACCAACCCACTTAGTTTCTTGTAGGCACATAATATTTATCCTTCTCCTCACCATAACTTCCACTACTTCCATAGATTTTCCCGTTAAGGTTCCTATATTCCACGTTCCTAAACGCATTCTACTCTCTTGAACTCTACCCTTTTGTCCTAGCTTCTTCACCTTCCCCCGTCCAATAGGATCAAAGTACTTCTTTTGTGTGTCCTGTGTAAAGTTGATAGGAGCATATGGCCCCAAACAATTTTGAGTGGAGTCGTTCGAAAAGAAGTTTCTATGGCCCCCTTGCTCATTTAACACTGCATCCGGGTGCCGATGGAGATACAGCGACCATTGCTCACTTATCACTGTGCTCGGGCCACACAGTGCGCCACTTACGGGTGACGCCCTAGCTTTAGCGCGATTTCGTTCTGGATTCATTTTCATAAGGATTCGACGTAACTGAGGAGTGCCGAATTGATGAAAATAATGAATTCTTAATTTCATAATTTTCTATAATTCTTACCTAAGAAAGTAATGATTAATAACACTGTGATCATCCAGTTAGCACATATGACATTGAGAGCAACTCTGATACTGATCCCAAGCACAAACATTGGTTGGGAAAGAATCGCCAAGTCGTAGTCGATGAAGGGGAGGTCAAGTGTTGGATGCCTTAGCCTTAGATTGTAAACACAGATGAAATTGCAGTATTTGTGATCATACTTGACCAAACCAACAAGCACTCAAAATTTCATTCAGTTACATTCGAAAGGTGAAAGAGGTAGAAAACTGTCATATCCACAAAGTCTAGGGATTAGAAGTGCATAAGGATATTCCCCTCACATCATTTGGTAAAATGATACAATGAATCTAATTGAAATCTTAGATTGGTGTTGACATCTGAAGCTTTTGGTGTTTAATAGTTGTTGCTACCATCGTATTAGAGAACCAACATGTTTCCATTTGTCATCGACTCTCACATGCAGGATGGTGTGCACATCAGAGAGGGTTTTAACTTCATATACATTGTTGATTGACTGATTTCCTAGCAACTTAACTTGAGGGATAATAGATTTGGTTTCCTGCATGAACATTGTATTAGTATAAAACTAAATTTCTAAGATACTGGCATGATCGTGTGTGCCTAACTTAATTAATTATAAATGGTGCAAAAGTTTGAGGATTATGCTGCAGGTGAAAGCTGAAGAGTACAGGAAAATGGTGAAGAAAAAGCAAGAACTTACACTTTGGTATTGCTGTTGACGATTTCTGATCAAATCCAGTGATCAAAGTGAGCACTGGAACAAAAATTCCACCCCCACCAACTCCACCTACAATCCCAACCGAAAAGCAGACCCTAGGAATCCAATTTTTGTACCCACCACAATTTTCCACCCAAATTTCATTTCCTGTATATCCAATTTCACCCCGCAATTAAGTCAAATTTTGAACAATTACTGCCCCTCAAAGAGTGAAAAAAAAAGCAGTTTTTCACATATAAGTTTGACACACTTTAAACAAAAGCACTTTAAAGTTGATCAAAGTATTGTAAAAGAAGTGTGAATGCCCTTTATAAAAGCAATACCCATTTAAAGACTCTGGACATTAAGTCATGGTTGGTAGGTTCATCACCTAACTTTTGTTTTCAATATTTTTTACTAATGAAATGTGAGGTGGAATGAAGAAAAGATGGTTGGCTATCTGACTATAAAACCAAGAGAAGAAGTAGCAAATGATGTAGAAGAGAAATATATCAGTAAGCTATAAGGCTAGAGAGAAAGAAAATTAATGAGAGATATATTTGTACTCCTATTATTTCAAATGAAAAAAAGAAAGTACTACTGCTGCCCCGAGGACTTAGGCACACTTGCCGAACCTTGTAAATATTGTATCTTATTTACTTTATATTCCATTGTCTGCATATCCTCAATTTCATAACATGTTATTAGCACGAGAATCTCTCATGTCAGTGGAAAACACAATGCCATAAATCTGGTGAAGCACTACCTGAAGGAAATATTTGTGAAAACTAGTTCATTTGAGCAACATCTATACATGCAATTAACAATTAAAAGGCGGAATCATGCTTGTGTACACTAAAAAACAAAACTTTACCCATGAAATTCAAGGCCTAGTGAATGTGGTGAATCAAGACTCAACTCAAGAACAAAGTGAGTTGAGAAATATTATACCTTTGTTGATTCCTCTTTGCATAAGCAAAGGTTAATCACCCAAGAGATAGGGCCTTCATTCCTTACTTCTTAGCTTCATGGATTTCTTGGATGAGGATGGTAGAATGGATTCTCCAAGTTCCCAAAATAGAGAACCTCTAAGTCTCCACACCAAGGAGAGCATTCATGAAGAGATGAGTGACCTAGAGGAAGTAAGATTGCTAGCTAATTTCCTCTAGGGTGGCTGGCCACTTAGAGAGAAAAAAGAGCCTTGTGTTCTCATCTTTTATCCAAAAGAAACCCTTTATGAATTTTGGCTATAAAATTCTTTATATAGTCACTTCACTTAAGTCACAAAAAGAACCAAAACCCTATTTCATCAATATGGCCGACCTTCTATGGTCTTTGGGCTGTTTGGGCCCTCTTGAATCTTTATTCATTAAGTTGTCATACAACTTAAGTCAATGGGCTTAACATTCGAAGCCCATTGGGCCTTCAGGCCCAAAACTAACCCGAGGTCTAAAACGAACTTATTCGTTTGATTAATTAACATATTAATTAATCCTAGCCATAAACAATTAAACCATTTAATTTTTCTTACTCAACTCCGTTGTTTCTTTAATCTCTACCTTACATGGTGTACGATCCATTAGGTTCCTTTTAGCGAGGCAGTGGGCGATTGTTACTCTTAACGATCGATTGTGAATTGAAACAACATTTCAATTCTCCCTTTGATGAAGATCACCAGGGCTTCCACAAACCATTGTGCCTAGCAGTATGTCATGGCTACCTAAGCTAATCAGAAGAGGTGGAGAACCTATTCAGTTTAGGATCACAATGCAATATGGTCTTTCTCTAATACAATACTCTTGACCACATTGTTTGGTTTGATAGTTTATTCATGTCCACTATCCAATGTGATTCTTTTACTTATATGATTACCTTGAATGTGATTTGGAACGACTTCCTAAATCTCATTCATACTCTGACCAGAGATTCTTAATCATGTTATAGAGTATTCTCCCTTAAACGGTTTGAAGGTTAAAGATCCCTTATTGTGCATTCACTTGCCTCCATGGCTAAGTGGCTTAACCCCAACTATGTCATGGACACCCTATGACGAAGTGACTTTGATATAGTCAAAGATCAAGGACCTAACCACAAGACAACTATGATGCCTCAAGTCAAATGACTACTTTGCATTATCCCAACCATGAGTTCTCATGTGCCATGAGTATGAGAACTCCTTGTTGATCGTGTTCAGTTGACTCATTCTTTATCGAGCACCTACATGTTTATCTTGGTATCAGTCACACTAATGACTTGAGACCAATCACTCTCCCTAAGAGAAAACATAGCACGTACTGATCTTAACGGATTGTTAATGCCCAATTGGCAATCCTATGATCAGGAACGTTTAGGATATGTATACGAAAGAGAATGGTCTCATGAATCTAACTTTTTTAGATCAGATTCTCCCAATTGCATATTCCTTGGACTTATTTTTTAAGCATATAACATTTATATAAGACGGCTTAAAAGAATAATCTTTGCCCTTTAGATTAAACGAGATTAGTTTAACATGCAAAATGTCCATAAAGTATCATCATATGATTGGTTTTAGGGCACATTTCCAACACTACCTACCTCCCACCTCTGTCGATTGGAATCTCATAGAAAAGGTACAAACTTGAAATTCGCAAAAAAAAATCAACAGTCTTGATACGAGTTTTGAAACTCTGACTTCATGTGCTCAAACAGAAGTTTTTCGTTCATAGAAGTTGTTTCTTATCTTCTCTTCCATAACATATCAAAATTCTAGAAAGATCAACGGTTAATTCATTCCAGATCTTAGAAATACTACAATAGACCCGAAATGCACTGAACAACCGGCAGCCATGTTAACGGCTTTTAGAATTCAACTTATTGACCTCGGATGCAAATGCTTTCTTCATTGAAGTTGTTCATTATTCTCTTATCCATGCCATACTAAAATTTGGGTCAGATCCAAACGGTTTGGTTGTCCTATAATTCTCATACACTACCGTTGATACATGACCACGGTTAGAAAGGAAAAGGGAAGTATAGTAAGTTAAGATTTACGTTTTCCTTATTATTATTAACTTTGTTATTCATGTGATTGGTGCGGCACTGTCGCCCTTCTTATAATAACAATTATTATTTTTATGTTTTGATATTTATGTGAATGGTGCTGAATTAAAGCCCTTGTCACAATCTTTATATATTTAAAGTAATTTATTTATAGTGGCTGGAATTACCGCCTTCTGCTTTAATTTACTTATTGTACTACATTTTGTTATGATGAGTATATACAGGACCCAAAGTTCCTTGATCAAATTTAGAACATGAAGTTTTTTTATTCTCATCATATAAAAAGATTGAATCTGAAGTTCCATCATATAAAAAGATCGAACCTAAAGTTCTGTGATCCTCATCATATAAAAAGATTGGAACTAAAATTCCATCATATAAAAAGATAGGACTAGAAGTTCCTTGATTCATGTAAATAAGGACCATAAGTTCCTTAATCCATGTACAGAGTAAGTATAAACATGAATTCTAAAAAATATGAACCTAAAGGTTCTAATAATGTCGATATCAAGAATAAATAATGTTAAGAACTTGAGTTTTAACATTTTTTTGTAGACATGTGTTTATATGGTATGAATTAATTATCGCAAGTTCTGTCACACCTGAATTTCTTCCTTTCTGTAACAAGAAAATGGTGAACTTAGCAAAACTCGATTTTGTTACCATCGACATCTCAGTAAAGAAAACTTGCATGAATCCATGGTTCCTGAGAACTCATATGAAAGTATATAATATTAGGAAACATCTTTGCTTAAAAACTCATGATTCTTATTCATGGAACCAAAAGTTTCCATAGATTCCTATATCTAACAAACTGAACCAGAAGTTTCGGGCATGTATAAAACCAAAATAGATAGAATTTTTCTATATATATAACCGAAAAAAAAAAGATGAGCTTTCACAAAGATATAAACCTTCAGTACTTGGCAAAACCCCAGAAAGACGAGGCACCAGAAGTTGATCATTTGAACCCTCAGTAATTAGTAAATTACCAGACGGTGGAGGCAATTGGTGCCTTCCAAATAAAGTCACAAACCTCTGGTGGTAATATTGAATCCAACTTTCGGAGTCCTACAGCTGGTCGAGCTTTCTCTTCATGCTCGTTGAGTAATTATTTGCAAGTTTTTGCAACTCTTTATTCTTGTGTTTAAGACCTCTAATTTCTTGTTTAAGATTTTCCACCTCAGCCATTAATTATTCAACTTGGCGAGTTCATGTAAGTAGGCATTGGCCCATATTGGATACAGAATTTGCACACTTAACACTGAAAGCCAAAGAGTCTTGAACAACCAGTTTATCATACCTTTTTGAAAATACTCTTCTACCTTTGGGAGTGAAAAGGTTCTTAGCTACTACTGCAGCAGTCATATCATCCTTCATCACAGCCGTAAAATGACCATTAGAGGATAGGAAGGATAGATGCTAGATATTGTCTTCAAGAGGCATGTCTTCATCTTTTACAATATTCAAATCAAAACAACGATCAAATAGGCAAGCCATTTTTGGAAATGATGAAAGAAAAGGAAATCATAGGATAAATAGAAATCTAAGAAGTGTAATAGAGGCACACCATATCGGTGGATGATATGCTCCTTGATGAAACAGACAACAGTTTCCTTCTTGACTTCCTTTAGGGGTATGGATTTAGCCCACTTAGAGAAGTAATCTGTTGCAGCTAGGATGTAAGCTTCTCCTACAGATGACTTTGGCGTAATTGGTCATACGACGTCCAATCCCCATGCATCGAACGACCATGAAGCAGTTGTAGGGTGTAATGGTTCAGGCAGTTGATGTATGAAGTTAGCGTGGAATTGGCAGGCTGGCACCTTTTGGCATGTTCCAGACAGTCTTTCACCATGCTTGGCTAATAGTAACCCATTCTTTTAAGCTGGAAATGTAGCTTCGGTCAGGACTGATGGCCTTGCATACACCTGAGTGTGTTTCTTTCATAGCTTGATTAGCTTTTTCCTCACCTAAGCATCTCAGAAGTCCTCCTTCAAAAGAGCATCAGTAGAGTGTTCCTTTGTAGTAGAGAAAGGGAGGTGCTCATCAATGTATTTCAGAGCGGTGTCTAGGATCATCTTGAAGCCTTCCATGCTCCAAGTAGTCGATCAGCGATCGTCTCCACTCTTCAGCATCGACCGGGAGTACTGAGATGACGTTTGCATCATCTAGTAGCATTTTGGTGACAAGCAGGATTACCCATCTTTGGCAAACTGGCACGTCTGCAGCTTCCTCTTCTCCTAGTGTCATACGCGAGGCTAGGTTGACAAGCGCGTCTACCATTTGATTTTCTTTTCTAGGCACATGCTCTAATGTCACGGCCTCAAAACTTTTGCAACAGTTGAGTTGCCAGCCTAAAGTATGGGACGATATCATCTTGCTTCACGTCATATTCAGTTAAGAGTTGATTGATTATGAGCTTGGAGTCGCCATAGACCTCAAAGGTTGTGATTTCCATGTTGATGGCCATTTGGAGCCCGATGATCAGTGCTTGGTACTCAACGACGTTGTTGGAGCACAATTAACTTAGTTGGAAGGAATAAGGTAGTATTTGCCTTTGTGGCAACATGAATACTACTCTTGCCCCCGCTTTGTCTGCTCGTGCAGATCCGGTAAAGAACATCATCCATGTTGGGAAAATGTCGATGTAGAACACCTCCTCGTCAGGTAAGTTGTCTAAGATTTTCCAATCAGCTAGGATTGGATGATCGGCAAAGAAGTCTGCTAGCGCTTATCCCTTGACGGCTTTAGCTGGGACGTAGATGATCTCATACTGATTAAGAAGCAGCGCCCATTTAGCGAGTTACCCTATCAAGACTAGTTTGGACATGATGTATTTGACTAGTTCAGCTTTAGCAACCAGGTAGATGGTGTAAGCATGCATGTAATGCTTGAGCTTCTAGATGGCGAACACCAAGGCAAGGCACATCTTTTCTATTAGGGAGTAGTTCAACTCAGCGCCGATGAGAGTTCGACTGAGCTAGTAAAGCGCTCCTTCTTTTTGGGATTCATTTTCTTGTGCCAAGAGTGCTCCAACTGAACTTTCCTTAACGGCAATGTACAATATGAGCGGCTTCCCGGGCATAGGTGCCCCGAGGATAGGTGGACTTGATAAATACTTTTTTATGCTTTCAAAAACATTGTACCATGCTTCATCCTATATGAACGAAACATCTTTCTTCATGGGTTGGCTAAACAGTTGACAACGCCCTGCAAGGTTAGAGATGAAGTGCCTGATGAAAGCTAGCCATCATCGTAGACTTTTCAGCTTGTACAAGTTTCTTGGCTCAGGCATGCTTTGAATGGCCTTGATCTTTGATTGGTCCACTTCAATGCCACGGTGCTTAACAATGAAACCAAGGAAGTTTCCTGAGATGACGCAAAATGCACACTTTAACGGGTTCATCTTGAGGTTGTATTTTCGCAGCCTTTCGAACACTATTCGTAAATCCTTCAAGTGATCTGATATTTTCTTTGTCTTGACCACCACATCATCTACGTAACATTCTAAGTTTTTGTGTAGCATGTCATTGAAGACTTTTTGCATTGCACGTTGATATGTAGCTCCAGCGTTCTTCAGACCAAAGGGCATCACCTTGTAGCAGTAGATACCTTTTAGAGTGTGAAAGGTTGTTAGTTTCTCGTCTTTGAGAACCATGAGAATTTGATTGTATCCAGAAGAGTCGTCCATGAATGACAATGCCTCATGGCCAGTGGTTGCATCCACCATGATTTCGATGATTAGCAAAGGGAAGTCGTCCTTCGGGCAAGCATCGTTGAGGTCCCGAAAGTCTACGCAAACACATATTTGTCCAAATTTCTTAAGGACAATGACGATGTTGGAGATCCATTTGGGGTATTGCATTTCTCGAATGAAGCCTGCTTCGATTAGCTTGTCAATCTCAGCCTCAATTTGTGGGATAAGCTCAGATTGATAGCGTCTTTAAGTTTGCTTTATCGGTCGCCTTCCAGGCTTGACTACAAGATGATGCACATCGATGATAGGGTCAAGGCCGTGTATTTCTTTGTAGGTCCAAGCAAAGACATCTTTGTACTCTAATAGTAGCTGGTGATACTCATCTATCTCGTCCGCACTTAACAGTGCACTTACGAAGATAGACTTTGATTCCTCGTTTGTGCCTAAGTTAAGTTCCTTAAGATCATCAACTATGGCTTGCCCCCTATCTTCAAGTTGTGGTGGTGCAGCAGTGACATCTTCCTCGAGGATTTCGTCTTCTTTGCCTTCTTAAATCATGATGTGGAAGACATCTTGGACCTCTTCTTCAGTGTTGTCCTTTCGAGCTTGTTGGCATGAAGATTGTTCAGTATGGATAATGGTGCGCCTTCTTACTTTCAATGGTACATTTGTGTCAACCTCCAAGATTGATTGGTGCTTCATCCTCGAAGGATTCAAGCTTCGAACGTTGCCTTTTTCTGCTAACTTGTCGAGCTTTTCTTCCTTTGGTGTTGTCACCCTCTTTCTAGAAGGCTTTTCATTGTCTTCAAGTCTTTCCAAAGCTGACCGTCGTGAAGGAGAGCTAGCCATGTTGCTTTGTTTCTTAGGTTTTGACAACCTTTCAAAAACAGAGCTTTGGAATGTTGGCACGTTAAGCCTCTTGAAGACGGAAGTTCGGTCTTGACCTCTAATGCGATTAAGCGCTGAAATTCTGGGTCTTGAACAATTCATCCTATTGAAAACTGACGTTCGAAGGGCGGGTTTAAGCCTCTCTTAATCTTGTTCAATACTCACACTAATGTGTTGAGCGCTAGCGTTTTTTGCTTTGCTTAAAATCATCACGGGTGCATTTGGTGTAAAGCCAACTCCAGCTTTGTTGTTGTCAACTCAAATGGTCTTTCAACTTCTTTTGAGTCCTTGTAAGGTCACGTTCTTTGTCGTTCATGGTGTTTGAATCCTTCTTTGCAGGATTGGAAGAGGAAGCGAAGTCATACTCAGCCTTGACCTGAGGTTGTAGGCGTTTGGATCAAAACCTTCTTCGGTCCTTTTGGTTGAAAGACAACTTGGTTCCACCCCCATTGGCAGAGCTTTTATGAAGCCTTGTGGTAGTCTTGGAACCTTAACGTCGCCTAGCTGTGTCAGAGGCAAAACTACATTCGTCTTAAGCAACTTCACATAATCCTTATGCCACTGTATGTCGGCTTTGCTTACTCCAGTTTCAAACGGGGATTGACCATTCTTTCTTCTCAACATCGGGATGTATCAACAGACGGGTGTGTTCAATCCTTTTGAGGGCGTCTTATTCCCTTTGGTTGTTACAGGTTTAACAGGTTCATCATCATTTTTGCTTGAAAATGGCACGGCTTCTCCTTCTTGGTTCTTGGGCAGGGCTTGCCAGTCCCGATTTTTAGGTGTTGCTTTGCCCGTGGATTTAATTTCTTTTTAAAGAGCTTAGGGCACTGTGTTTTCCTCCACGTAGAACTTGGCATCTGCAAAGTGTGATTTGGCTTCGGTGAATGGCTTGGTATCGCCTTAGATCACCTTTACTCCTCATCGGTAGAATTTTAAGCATTGGTGGAAGGTGGATGGCACTACTCCATTCTCGTGGATCCAAGGCTTTCTTAAGAGCAAGCTATAGGAAGTTCTTGCATCAATCACGTGGAATATTGTGATTTATTTGAGTTCACCAATGGTCATCTCCACTCGGATCATGCCCATTGCTCTTTGTCCTCCTTGATTAAAACCTTGGATTAGTAGACGGCTTAGGGATAGTTCATCCACCTTGATGCCGATTATGGTCATTGTTGACTTTGGCATGATGTTTATGGCCGATCCACCATCCACAAGCATCTGGTTGACTTTGTGCTTCCTTACCTACCTAGAGACAAAGAGAGAACAGTTGTGAGGCTTGGATCCTAGCAGCAAGTCTTTGTCGGTGAAATGGATTACGTCCTAGACAGTACAACATGTGGCATACTCATGCGGTTGAAGTTTCAAGCTTTCGTCCTTGTTTTCTTGCACTTCGTGGTCGTTGGGACTTGCCAAGACCGCTGCTAGTGCTCTTCGCATCTTCCTTGGTAATCGTAGCACTTCCTCAATGCTAAAGTGTGTTGGCAAACCTTCTTTGGGTGTGAGGGTCTTTTCTTCCTTAGTGGCAATAGCTTTGCCTTTTGAGGGCTCTACCATCTCTACTTCAACCATGTGACAAGAGACGGTAATGCACTGTTGGAAGAAGTTCTTCGGGAAATACATTTGCAAGGAGACAGGAATGCTTGGCTCTTACTCCATAGGTTCCCCACTGTATGTTGGCTTAGCAACTCTTACGTTTCCTTTAGGCTTGATGTTGTTGTGGCGGCGGTAATTTCTTCCTTATTTCCCTTTTGGCTATGTAACTTGTGGTTTTGGCTTCCTTATCTTTTTATAGGTCGCCAATGTCCATCCTTCTTCGTCGTTGGTAAGTACCTTTTGGTCACTTACCCCCAGTGATGGTTGTGCAGAAGGTGTCGTGTGGCTTGAGCATTGACAGGAATGGTCATGCATCATTTGGAGAGGAACGGGGATCAAATGATCCAAACACGATCTTAGTGGTGTGTGTTGCGGCCATGTCTTCTAGGTTAAGTTCGATTCTCCCTTGTTGTAACAGCTTCATAATGAGCTCTTTGAGGGTGAAACACTTACCAACGAGATAACTTACGATACAATGATACTTGTAGTACCTGGGATCGTTAAATCGATTCATCTCTTCGGGGTGCTTGCATTCCAGTAACTCGATCACCTTCTTTTCCAACAAGTCATCTAACATTGCAGCCATATCTGAGTCAGGAAAAGGGTACGTCTTTTGGTCTAGCTCCCTCAAGGTGTTTTGTACCTGTCTTGGGTGCGAGAAGGCTTATCTCTCTTTATCTCATTCGCTTTGTTCTTGGAGGAGATCTTAACAAGTGCAGTTTAATGAGGGTAATGTTAATAGTAAAAGCTTCATTGGCGGGCTTCCTCCCATGATTGTCTACTTTCAAAGCAAATACCTTATCCTTTTTAAGTAAGAGATTGGCTCATTTTTTCCATGATGGGCGATGCTCAACTCCATGTCGTGGGCGCAAGTGGCTAACTCTTCGAAGGTCCATGGTTTGATGACTTGAAGCATGTAGTGTAACCCCCATTGTATGCCTTGGACGCACACCTCGATCGAGGAGATCTCTGAGAGCCTGTCTTTGCAGTCGAGGCTTAGAATGCGCCATCTATTGATGTAGTCCACGACTGGCTCGTCCTTCTATTACTTCACGGTTTTCAGCTCTAGCATGCTCACAGTGTAGCATATACTATAGAAACGGTTGAGGAACTCTCGCTCCAATTGATCCCAGCTGTTGATGGATTGAGGCTCTAGGTCCGTGTACCAGTCAAATGCATTCCTCTTCAGATAAAGGAAAAACTGCTTCGCGAGGTAGTCTCATTGTGCCCCTACATTGTTGCAAGTTTCAACGAAATGGGCGAAGTGCTACTTTGGGTTTCCCTTTCCATCAAACTGCATGAATTTTGGTGGTTGATAACCCATCGGCATCTTCAGGGCGTCGATCTTCTTGGAGTATGGCTTTGAATACAACACCGAGGTATGTGAGCTCTCTTCATACTGCACCTTGATAGTGTTTGTGATCATCTCCTGCAGCTGTTGGATAGAGAGAAATCCCATGAGCGTCGCTGCTTGGTCTGGCTCCAGCTTCTCATTGACTTTCTCCACCGGAGGCTCATCTTCTTCGTTGGCTCCTTTTTTTAGTGGATCAACCTTTAGGTTGACATTCACATCTTGTTGTGCCTCCAGTTGGTTGGCGAGTGCAGCGATTTGCAAGTCTTTCTCATCCACAGTTCGTGTGAGTTTTGTGATCGCTTCATTTATTTGAGCTAGCTGCTCCTCGATTGAAGTCGCTCATGTGGTCATGACTTACATAGCTAAGTTGCTGCTTGAGTCAACATCGGAAAGCAGGGACTCGGAGTACTTCTTCGAACTTTCTTCCCTTTGTGCACTTAGCGAGGCTAGGGTGATCACGGGCTCGCGCTTTTGATGCTCCCCTTGCTCCTTTAGCGTCACCAACTTTGGAATGGCATGTTGAACAGTGGTGATCGCCTTCGCTTTGCTCCGGGTTGTGACACCAATGAATTCTCCACTTAAAGCAGGAGTGTTTAGGCTCTTTCCCTTGGTTGCAAGGACGGCTTGTCCCTTCTTTGATGCCATTAACTTTGAGGTGTGTTTTGGATTTCTTGAACGAAGAAAGAGATGAGAAGTAGAGATGGTCCCACTGGGTGTGCCAAATTTGTAAACACGAATATTCCTACGACAAATGAGATAAGAACACGTGAACAAAATAATATTTTGTATTAATTTTGGGGTTACAATCTCTTTTACAATTTGATCCTCTGATTCTATCTTCGTAAGGTGTTAGATCTGTGGATGAGCTGTTGATCCAAAGGGTCGTCGGGGCTTGATCTTGGGATGAACGGATCTTCAAGGGCCTTCAGGGCTTTATCTTGATGAACAGTTATGTGGATTTCTTCAAAGGTCATTGGGCTTGATCTTGATGAACGAATATGAACAGATCTTCAAGGGCCTTCGGGGCTTGATCTTGATGAAAGATGTGTGAATTTCTTCAAGGGCCATTGGGCTTGATCTTGATGAACGAGGATGAATCAATCTTCAAGGGCCTTTGGGCTTGATCTTGATGAACAGATCTTCAAGGCCCTTTGGACTTGATCTTGATGAACGAGGGTGAACGGATCTTCAAGGGCCTTCCTGTTGGAAATGTGCCCTAAAGCCAATCATGTGATGATACTTTACGGACATTTCACATGTTAAACTAATCTAGTTTTACATATAAAGGGCAAAGATTATTGTTTGAGCCGTCTCATATAAATGTTATATGCTTAAACGATAAAGTCCAAGGAATATGTGATTGAGAGAATGTAATCTAATGAAGTTAGATTCATGAGACCATTCTTTCGTAGACACATCCTAAACGTTCCTGATCATAGGATTGCCAATTGGGCGTTGACAGTCCGTTAAGATCAGTACGTACTATGTCTTCTCTCAGGGAGAGTGATTAGTCTCGAGTCATTGGTGTGTGTGACATCAAGACAAGTACGGTAGGTGCTCAATAGAGAATGAGTTCACTGAACGCGATCAACGAAGAGTTCTCATATTCCATGTCACATGAGAACTCATGGTTGGGATAATGCAAATTAGTCCTTTGACCTGAGGCATCATAGTTGTCTTGTGGTTAAGACCTTGATCTTTGATTATGTCAAAGTCACTCCATCAGGAGGGTGTCCACGGCATCGTTGGGGTCAAGTGACTTAGCTATGGAGACAAGTGAATGCGCAACAAGGGATCTCTAACCTTCAAACCGTTTGAGGGAGAATACTCTATGATATAATTTGAATCTCTGATCAGAGTATGAATGAGATTGGGGAATGCGTTCCAAATCACATTCAAGGTAATCATATAAGCACAAGACACACATTGGATAGTAGACATGAGAAAATAAACTATCAAACCAAACAATGTGGTCAAGAGTATTAGATTAGAGAAAGACCGTATTGCATTTGTAATCCCGAACTGAATAAGTTCTCTAACCTCTTCTGATTAGCTTGGATAACCATGATATGCTGCTAGGTGTCACTCATGGTTTGTGGAAGCCCTAAACGTGTATAATCACTAAAGGGAGAATTGAAAATAGTTTCAATTCACAATCGATGTAAAATGGTTTTAATCGCCCACTACCTCGCTAAAAGGAACCTAATGGATCGCACACCATAAAAGGTAGAGATTGGAGATTAAACGGAAATGAGTAAGAATGATTAAATGGTTTAATCATTTATTTATGGCAAGGATTAATTAATATGTTAATTAATCAAACGAATAAGTTCGTTAAAGACTTCGGGATAGTTTTGGACCTTAAGGCCCAATGGGCTTCGAACATCAAGCCCATTAACTTAAGTTGTATGACAATTTAATGAATAAGATTCATTAAAGCCCAAAAGCCCAAAAATCCCAATATGGCCGGCCATAGTGTATGAATTAGGGTTTTGGTTGTTTAGGTCACTTAAAGAAGTGACTATATAAATGACTTTATAGCCAAATATTCATTAAGGATTAAAAGGGTTTATTTTTGGGGAAAATTGGTGAGAATTGTCTCTCCATTTCTCTCTAAAGAGGCCAACACCTTGGAGGGTACATCTAGCAATCCTACTACTCCAAGGTCACTCATTTCTTCTACAATCTAACCTTGGTGAAGAGACTTAGAGGTTCTCAATTTTGGGAACTTGGAGAACCTATTCTTCCATCCAAATCCATGGATCTAAGAAGCAAGGAATGAAGGCCCCTATCTCTTTGGGTGATTAGCCTTTGCTTATGCAAAGAGGAATCTACAAAGGTATTAATTTCAACTCACTTTGTTTTGAGTTGATTAATTGGTTCACCAATCTACTAGGCTTTGAATTTCATGGTAATGTTTTGTTTTTGAGTGCATACAAGCATGATTCCGCCTTTAATTGTTAATTGCATGCTATATGATGTTGCTCAAATGAACATGTTTTCCCAAAAGATTTCCTTCACTTCCGGGCTTGATCTTGATGAACAGTTGTGTGGATTTCTTCAAGGATTTGATGAAGAATAAAGAGAGCTTTCTTGATCCTTCGGGATTCTTGGGAATTTGGGAGGTTGGATGCTTGAAAGCTTTAGAGTATCATAACTTCAAGGGTTTGGGGATTTCTCTTCCAATTTAGGAGTAGAGAAATGTATATGTGAATTGGTCCTTTGAAATGGATGAAATGGCCTTGTCTTTATAGAATTTTTCAAGGCCTAATTTTTTAATATAATATTCAAATAAAATAAATCATTACTGCCAGGTGTTGACATGTGTCCTATTTGATGACTTTTCTGATTTTTTTCGATTTTTTGTTGAGTCACACGACACGTGTAAAATTTATGTGACACGTGAACGTTGAAATTTTAATGCATTTGTTAACATTTATTTCACCGAAATTTTGATGTCTACAGTTGTATAAAAGGTAACACAATCATCACGATTACTAATAAACTACCAAATGCATTAACAAGTTACAAAGATGCCACATGATTTGAAGTCTCAATATGACTATCCATGGACTTGGCACTACTAAATCATTGCATGCATGAAGCATGACAATCACCGCATGGATCCAAGTCCCAAAGACAATCCATGAACAAGGTAATTTTAATATACATCATGTCTAAAGCATGATAAACGTATAGATTTCAATGATTTAACTCTCTAGAAGTGGAGATTAAAAGTCCAAGCTCTATAATGCTCTAAAGGAGGTTATGATCCAAGTTCTCTAAACAATTCATCTAGTAAGAGATGACTGTCCTAGAAGAGATAATGTAAAGTACCTTAAGAGGCAAGTATATCCAAAGTAATGAAATGTTTATAAACTATGCATCCCATGCATATGAGAATTATGGGATCACGAATTGATGATAACCAACGTTAATTTTGGTTTTACAGTAACTAGTAGATTCATCAATGATCTATGTTCATATTGAGCCATGTTCTTTTGTTCATTGATAAAAAGAAAATTATTGGTCAAAATGGAGATAGGCAATTCTATTACAATTTATTAAGAACATGGAAAATGGACCTATAGTACAAATCGATGAATGATGTTGAACCTAGAAAGTTACATATGGGCATTTGTAATACAGTAAAATACACTCACATGATATGGCACATGGTTCCTAATTGAAACCTAAAATTGTGATATACTCCTATAAACGTTATTTCACAT